CCCCCCCCCCCAATACGCACCCAGGACCCCTAAGACTCTGGTCCTTCCCTCCGAACTCACTTGTCGCTGGGCCACGCTCCACTTGCTATTGAAGGATTTATGTGGCCAAAGAGTGAGGGGCAAGAGAGGGGGCCGAGAAACGGAGAGCAAGTGAGGAAAAGAACTCGAGAAAGGGAGAAAGAGTGAGAGAGACGTGCTCGTCGGAGGGTAGGAGTAAAATGCCGAGAGTGTCCCCGTCAAACCCTTTCAAAGCGGTTCTTTTCCCGGCTTTCGCTCCTTTGGCAGTGTCTCTGCCCGGGCCGCGCGGGGCGGGCCGCTCCCCGTCGTGCCCCTCGGCTCGCCTCTTCGGTGCGCAGTAAGCCCGTTTGATAAGACTGGCCGTCGCTGAAGGGCCGGCCGGCCGGCTTCAGACCGAGCAGGAAATATATCAAAACCTGCAGCGAATAATGAGCGCCCTTTCTCCCTCCCCCTCCCCTTCCTCTCGCTCTCACTCGCACGTGGGTGGGTATGTGTCCTCCACACGATATGGCATGGCCTCTTTTTCCGCCCCACGAACGTGACGATGACCACGAGCTTTAATTACCTCCCAGGGGTGGGTCCTCTCATTCTCTCATTCTATCATTCTCTCTCTCTCTCTCCGGCAGCTGCTGTTCCCGCGATAAATCTACTCCCACCGCGGCGATGGCGCCTGTGAGGAGTAAATCATTGCAGCTCGGCGCCAGGGCGGCCCTGTCCGGCCCTGTCCGGCCCTGTCCGGCGGCACACTGACCCAGCGGCTGCGACGGAGACACCAGATTATTATGCCTCTGCTCCCAAATCGGCGCGCTGTGTTTTGTTTTAAGAGGGAGGGAGCAAAACGATTCATCACGGAGTGAGCTCTTCGGAGAGAGAGAGAGGGGGGTGGGGGTGGGGGAGGAGAGCTTGTCACTTGCGCGGCGCCCGGGGCGCCGCCGCGACGTCAGACGAACAAAATGAATAATCTGCGATGTGAATTCCTGTTGGAGGGTGGGGGGTATTACGGCTCCAGTACACCAGGGATTAGTGCCTATTATACGAAGACTTTTTTCCCTTCTGTTTCTATTCTGTCTTTCATTTGTAAAGGGTCGGCAGGACTCGACTCATAATCTACCCGAGCTTTATTTCCATTTTTATTTTCTTCGCGAGTGATTAGGAGTCCGAGCTGGGGTGGTGCCACTAAGCTGCGGCCCAGTCCACTGTCAGAGGTGAAGTGTCAGTCGAAAGAAACTTGCACTTCGAGCCTTTTGTTTCTTCCCGTAAATGAAAAGACTTATAGTTCCCCGCGGTTTTCCTTTGGGCCGTTGCAGTTCCCGAGCAGCGGTACCGATGGTCGGGTCTTAAGATGCCATCGGTAGATAAGCCCTGGCCGGGCTCACCCCGCTCAAATGTGTACGCTGGTAATCTGAGCTGTTTATTTAGAGATCTCCGCGCCCCCTCCGCGTCCGACGCGCGCACCTGTCACGGCTGCATCCAGTTCAACGACATGAACCCCTTCCCCGTCGGTCAGGCCGTTTGTGCAGCGCCCATAGTCTGCTCGGCTATCGGTTGTTGACGCGCTGCCCGCCGCTTCGAAGAAGAGTTCGATCTCAGATCGGGACCCTGCAAGGCCCGCGCAAGGGGTGGTTGTGACCGCGTTGCACGGCGGGCTCGCTCTCTGGCCGGGCTCGGCCGGGGCCACGGCGGGGCCGGCGGGGCGGACGCCTTTGGTGATTACGTGAGATAGAGCGACCGCCGGATTAATTGCGAAACGGACAGCCCGTCGATAAGGAGGCCGTTATCAGCGAGGAGCTACCAGTGCGGGCCGGGCCGGCTGGCCACGGCGCCTTGTGGGGGCCGCGGGCCGCGGCGGCGCGCTCCTCACCTGCAGCCCGCGGCCG